CTTGCCAGCCCGCTCAGAGATGTGTATAAGAGACAGAGATTTGGCCATAGAATTCAAAAATTCTCAGAAAATAAGCAACAGAAGCATTTCTGTGCTCTAGTTCTGAATAAATGAAAACATTCTGCACAATCCTTATTACTCAAACTATATGAGAAGAGTATATTCGTCAAAATCAGTTCTTTAACTTTTTGTTACTATTGTAGGTACCAAACATCCTTAAAGAAACGCGTAACCAGCAGGTTTCGTCAGAAACTTTGAAAAAATTTTATTAAAATGATGCAACATTCCGACCGAAGCAGAATACGTTCATTCCAACTCGTCAAACCAGATGCAATGACTGTATTCGATCGATGAATTTACGGATAATATATGTGTTTTATATTTTTTATATGTTTCGTTTCGCGCAAAAACTCGTTAATTGAGCATAATTTCAATTAATATCGAGGAGAGCTAAACTGAATAATTATTAAATTTACATTATTACTTTCTAATATTATGTAGATAGAAAACAACTATTAATCTAACCTCAGTTATAATTCTTTTAAAATCAATAAGATCAATTCTACAATTTTGTTTTCCACAATTCTTTTTTTATTTATATTTTTTGTACCTGATTTCCCAATGTATCCAATGTGTGTGATCAACGTTTTATTTACGTAATGAATAGAATTAGTCAATTGTATGCAAGTCCAATAATCACGTGTAGATGTATCTATTCACTTCAGCTGGCTAGAGAACGTGAAAACTGAAATGCGTAAGCCATTAAAGGCGGGACTGCCGGGAGCACAGACTTTTGGGCTGCGTCAGAAACTTCGCCTAGGTGCATCTAGATGTCATTTTATCCTTGTTCAACATTCGTTCAAAACTTATTCTTGATGAGTTTTGGATTGCAGTTTTTTCGTGAAGCGATTGAACATAATTGGTTAGATCCATTGGTAGAAACCAATCACTCGGTAAACAGACTATGTTCCAAAAACGATTAAAAAAAAGTATTGCAACCTTCAGCCACAGTATAACCCAAGGTACAGAGGAGCCAGCTAAGAATGCGTGAGCACATAAAAAGAGACAGAAAACGGGACGCCCATCTGCATCTTTGTTCAATCGCGCATGCGCAGTTGGTTTTCACGGTTGAGTGGGGAGATCTCTTTGACGAGAGATGAGGAAAAGAAAGCAAATATTTGTATTAATAACAATATACATTCTATAGAGTATTTTTATTTGCATAAACGTTAATAAAAGAAATTTTGTAATGTTATAATAACATAAAATAACATAAAATAACATAAAATATTCAAAAACATAAAACATTTTATA